CAACACTCCTCCTCCTCCAAGGTACACCTCCAGTCTGGCAACACTCCTCCTCCTCCTCCAAGGTACACCTCCAAGCTGGCAACACTCCTCCTCCTCCTCCTCCAAGGTACACCTCCAAGCTGGCAACTCTCCTCCTCCAACACACACACATCAACAGCTCTGGGCAGCCCACGTTACAACCAGATTAATTCACACCTTAAATTCGATTTCACTAATGTGTGAAAAAAAATAACATTATGTAGAAAAATCACAAATTTGCGAAACTGAATAAACTTATTTCTGAGCGATATTCATTTCATTCATTGTCAAATAAACAACGAAAAACTCGCTTTTCGCTAAATCTATAAACACGTTTGGCACAACAGGAGAGCTGCATTAATTTTAGAGTTTCGCGTGTTTTGCGTCGGAGTCTAAACGCGATATTTGCGATTTTACGCGGAAATTTCGCACTTAATATGCGTGGCTGAGTTCCACATTTTACACGACGATAGAGTTGTGTGCATAACAAGGTGGCGGGCGAGGATGTGGACCGATAATGTTTTAATCATTTCTTCTTCACATTTTTTTTGCGTTTTAAGCCAAAATTACTTCAGTGAGGCTTGAATTGGGAGGTAAATTCTGTCATATGGAATATATATGTTTGAGCTGCGAGTCTGGCATCTTTATTTTGATGTCTGTGATAATTGTTAATAAGAATAATACACTGTGTCGGGGGGACATGCAGCCAGTATATATATATATATATATATATATATATATATATATATATATATATATATATATATATATATATATATATATATATATATAGGGTAAAAGAAACTCTGCCCATTTGTTTCCGCCTCCGCCGAGGATCGAACCCGGAACCTTAGGACTACGAATCCCGAGCGCTGTCTACTCAGCCGTCAAGCCCCAGGTACAAATAGTAAATACACACCACACTTAGGCACGCTGATCCCAAAACAATATCGCAATAAAGCGACAGTCCATTTCTCGCTCAAGCCGACTAATTAATTAACTAAGTGCCCAGACAGGTACAAGAGGAGTGTTGTCAACGCTTACGTCGACCAGGCTCTCAGCCACAGCTCAGGATGGAAGCAAGTCGACGAAGAACTCTGTAGGGTAAGGCAGGTCCTAGTCAACAATGGCTTCTCTAACGGATATGTTGAAGACATCATAAAAAGAAAGGTGAAACGCCATGCAGCCTCTAAAGAGTCAACTAACACAACACTTGTTCCCCTATTAGACTGTTTTACAAGAACTTCTTTTCGACGGCTCATAAAACGAAGGAAAGGGTCCTGAAAAATATAGTTAACAGGAACGTTATGCCACAGACAAAAATCAGAAAATACAATTGACAATTTACTATAATACCAAAAAAACTGCCAACCTGCTCATGAAAAACTCCCCAGACACCAAACATAACGCCTTCAAGGAAACCAACGTCGTCTATGCCTTCAATTGCCCACTTGGGGACTGCAAGCCCCAAAGAACTCAGTATATAGGCAAGACAACAACGTCTCTTTCCAGGCGATTAACGATGCATAAGCAACAGGGCTCCATTAAGGAACATATAATCTCTTCTCACAACCAAACCATCACCAGAGAAATCTTAACAAAAAACACAGAAATCACCGATAGATACAGCGATAGCAGGAGACTCGACATCAGCGAGGCACTACACATCAAAAAGTCAACACCAGCAATCAACAGCCAATTAACGCATAACTACATTCTACCCAATTCAAAACCTCGTATGGACCAATAGGCCCATACAGTTACTTTCAGTTACTTTCATTCTTATGTACCCATCTCAGCCAATACCCACCTCACCCAACACGAATATAAAATGCAAGATGTAGGTTAAATTTATCATACACAGTATATCCAGTGTATCATAAGTGTAGTGTTAAGTGAAAACAAGTCTTTGAGAATGTAAGATGCCCATACGAAACGCTTCTAGGCGTCAGACCAAATTAATTTTGGAGAACTGATAAATTACCCTCGACAGTGAAGAGAAACATAAGACATATTGAGAAAATTCGCGTTAGAATTATTAATCTTACCTTTTCGATCATCTTCAACAACATATATATGCATACACTTGCATGAACTCGCAAGGAATTTAACAAACCGAACACTTCCCCATATGAGAGAATCGAACCATGGACAACAACGTCTCTTTCCAGGCGATTAACAATGCATAAACAACAGCGCTCCATCAGAGAACATATAATCTTGCTAAAACATGGGCCAGCAGGTGCCAGGCCAGAGCATTAACACACACACACATTATACATATATATATATATATATATATATATATATATATATATATATATATATATATATATATATATATATATATATATATATATATATATATATATATATATATATATATATATATATATATATATATATATATATATATATATATATATATATAATCTTTGGACAACACCCACCAGTGGGACTCGAACCCAGAAAGCACAACTACCTTCCAGTAGCTGGCATAACTAGTATGCTTTAACCCACTACGCCATCAGACCTTACAAAAGAAGTAGATAGTTCGAGATATATATCTCAAACATCTCCACCTCCCGAAGGCACCAGATGAGTGAGGGGTCAGTCTGCATTTTTCGTCAAGCCACTGTCAATGTGAGAGAACTCGTGTCCTAAGCTGGACACGAGTTCTCTCCCCGTGACAGTGGCTGGACGAAAAATGCAGACTGACGCCTCACTCATCTGGTGCCTTCGGGAGGTGGAGATGTTTGAGATATATATCTCGAACTATCTACTTCTTTTGTAAGGTCTGATGGCGTAGTGGGTTAAAGCATACTAGTTATGCCAGCTACTGGAAGGTAGTTGTGCTTTCTGGGTTCGAGTCCCACTGGTGGGTGTTGTCCAAAGATTGTTAATCTTCACTTGTGGTTTATGCAAGTATAGGCTTATATATATATATATATATATATATATATATATATATATATATATATATATATATATATATATATATATATATGTCGTACCTAGTAGCCAGAACGCACTTTTCGGCCTACTATGCAAGGCCCGATTTGCCTAATAAGCCAAGTTTTCCTGAATTAATATATTTTCTCTAATTTTTTTCTTATGAAATGATAAAGCTACCCATTTCATTATGTATGAGGTCAATTTTTTTTATTGGAGTTAAAATTAAGGTAGATATATGACCGAACCTAACCAACCCTACCTAACCTAACCTAACCTATCTTTATAGGTTAGGTTAGGTTAGGTAGCCGAAAAAGTTAGGTTAGGTTAGGTTAGGTAGGTTAGGTAGTCGAAAAACAATTAATTCATGAAAACTTGGCATATTAGGCAAATCGAGCCTTGCATAGTAGGCTGAGAAGTGCGTTCTGGCTACTAGGTACGACATATATATATATATATATATATATATATATATATATATATATATATATATATATATATATATATATATGTCGTACCTAGTAGCCAGAACTCACTTCTCAGCCTACTATGCGAGGCCCGATTTGCCTAATAAGCCAAGTTTTCCTGAATTAATATATTTTCTCTAATTTTTTTCTTATGAAATGATAAAGCTACCCATTTCATTATGTATGAGGTCAATTTTTTTTTATTGGAGTTAAAATTAACGTAGAAATATGACCGAACCTAACCAACCCTACCTAACCTAACCTAACCTATCTTTATAGGTTAGGTTAGGCTAGGTAGCCGAAAACGTTAGGTTAGGTTAGGTTAGGTAGGTTAGGTTGTCGAAAAAACATTTATTCATGAAAACTAGGCTTATTAGGCAAATCGGGCCTTGCATAGTAGGCTGAGAAGTGAGTTCTGGCTACTAGGTACGACATATATATATATATATATATATATATATATATATATATATATATATATATATATATATATATATATATATATTTTTTTTTTTTTTTTTTTTAAACCTAGAAGGGGTACCACCTCTGGTGCAAGTGTAGGGACCCATAGCCTCGGAGAAGAAAATAAAGAGTACATATATATATATATATATATATATATATATATATATATATATATATATATATATATATATATATATATATATATATATATATATATATATATATATATATATATGAGAACAAAAGTGAACAGTGACGCACTAGTCAACGTTACCCAAAAAAGGGCGAAAAACACAGAACTTTCAGTTTCCATCCTTTTTTTCTCTTTTCAAAATTATTTCTACCGCCAAAGGTATGGACGGCTGCCATATGGGAGGTCCATTATCACCCCTTGTGTGGTTAAAGTTGCATTTGGAAACGCATATTTTCCCATCTGGTGAGCCTGATATACGTTGATGACATATTGATGTTGGGATTCGAGGGGCCTCTTTTCTTCATTATTTTCCACATCATCAATGCTCTAGAGTCTTATCATTAGGGCGGGAATCACGTAGCAAATTTCTAGATGTGTTGGGGGGGGGGGGGACTGGGATTAATAATCCCATTAACTGATTGATCAATTCAGTTAAATGGGATTAACTACACGTTCAGGTGGTTCGGTTCACTGCACTTCAGAACAGCGCTGTTTCAGATTTTTTGCTTTGAGGGAATTATGTGTACTTAGCCTCATTGTATTATGACAGTGAAACAGAAATGATAAAAGGAATTGAAATTATGAAAGTAGGTTATTGATGGTTGTTCCTTGAGAGGGTCTTAATAAGTGCTTAGGGAAGTTCCTAATAAATTAGGTTAGTCATTAAATCAACGGTTTTTTTTTATCTGTTGGATTTTGACACACACATAAACCGTGTGAGTGTCAAAAATGTCAATCAACCGGTTGATTGACACTTGGGAGGCGGGACCAAAGAGCCGTAGCTCAACCCCCGCATGTACAACTAGGTGAGTACACACCCACACACGGGTTTGTACTTTTGTGCTTAGTTGTACTAGGTGAGTACACACACACACACAGGGTAAACAAACTGCCTCACTCCATACCTGTATATGGGAGTACCAATGTCGCCATGGTAGAAGAGGACGAGAATGGTGTCATCTGTGGGTATTGGAGGCGCCACATCACAGGGCAGCAGAACCCGGCCGGACTCCACAGCGTACACCACCGTCAGCGGACCTGCCACAGCACCAGCAGGAGTAGTAGTAGCACCACCAGCAGGAGTAGTAGTAGCACCACCAGCAGGAGTAGTAGTAGCACCACCAGCAGGAGTAGTAGCACCACCAGCAGGAGTAGTAGTAGCACCACCAGCAGGAGAAGCGCCACCATCACCACCACCAAAGAAGAAATAAAGAGTTAGTTCCTGAGGGGGATAAAGCAATTTGATCGCCCCTATGCATCTTTATACGCATGCGTATAACGCAGTTACCAGAATTACGCCCTTGGTGTCTGCTCTCAAATACCGTATAAACGCACCATTCTCCCATTATTACCCCATTTTCTTTGCAATCCCATTTCTTGTCACTTTCACACAACACCAGTGCCATTTTCTACGCAACATCAGACTTACCTCTTATAGACACCTGCCTTATCCTTTATGTACCTGAGTTAACCTTTAACCAATCAACTTATGCTTCAGGTGACACGAATTTGAGCAATTTAAATACAAAAATTCTAACAGTAATATATTTTTATGGTCTTCTTTTTAAATAAAAGCTAAAAATGTCGAAAATATGAAAGAAAAAATATATTTTATTTGAAATACAAATTTTCGTATTGATTAAATTCAGATTATGCTATATCAAGCCCTGAAATTTGAAGAGAAAAGGCACTCCATAATTTTAAGTTTCTCTCTAACGACTCAAAGAAAATAGCAAATATTTGATGGTAAACTAAAAAAAACACATAGAAAATGGGCTCGAACCGAAGAATTTTCATAAATATGTCTTTGTACGATGATGCCACTTGCTCCAAAATTCTTGTACAAAATGACTTTTTATATAAAAGTGAAAACGTCCATTTATGTAAGCCGCTCGGACCTCCGTAGTCCACTTATACGTCAAGAGATGTAAGTAGAGCACTTAAGGACTCAGCACCTGCGGCAACCATTAAACAAATGTGGCACCCTTTATACACCCGTGGCACAATTTAAACACCCACGGCACCCTTTAAACACCAATGGCACCCTTTAAACACCAATGGCACCCTTTAAACACCAATGGCACCCTTTAAACACCCATGGCACGATTTAAACACCCGTGACCCCCTTTAAACACCAATGGCACCCTTTAAACACCCATGGCACCCTTTAAACACCAATGGCACCCTTTAAACACCCATGGCACCCTTTAAACAACGTCTGCGTCAGTGTTGCCACACAACACACAACTTATGGCAAGTTGTTGCAAGTAATTAGACACAATTTTTGCTTCGTCCTCTTTTAGTGAGCGCGGAGGAGTCAGCTGGAGAAGGATATGGGGCGACCTGCCGCAACTTTGGCGGGAAATGACCAGAGGCCCGAGGAGGGGGAGGAGCAGGAGGAGCAGGAGGAGCAGGAGAAAGAAGAGGTTGAGGAGAAGGTGATCCGTTATGAAGAGGTGGATAAGAAGCAAGAATGAGAGGGGACATAAGGGATACAAGAGGACTAGATAGCACTGGCAGAAAAGGTCGAAATTCTTACTTTGTATTCACTTTAAATTTACGGTTTTCATCACTCTGATGTTCATATACTGGGAATAAGTCACAATAACATTGTGTTAAGGTTCATGACGGACCGAAACGTCGTCAATTTTATTTTATTTCATGTGAGTTGAGTTATTTAAAAACTAGAGATGTTTAATTTACAGTAATCTTCCCTGCCTACCTTGTGTCTACAGTGTGTAGCTTCTGGGGCGATCAAGAGCCCCGAGGCCCGGTCTCCAATCAGGCCTCCCGGTTGGTCGTCTGGGCAAACAGGCTGTTGGACGCGGCTGCTCGCAGCCTGGCGTATGAATCACAGCCTGGTTGATCAGGAATACTTTGGAGGTGTTTATTAAGTTCTCTCTTGAACACTGCGAGGGGTCGGCCAGTTATGCCCCTTATGTGTAGCGGAAGCGTGTTGAACAGTCTCGGGCCTCTGATGTTGATAGTTCTCTCTTGAACACTGTGAGGGGTCGGCCAGTTATGTCCCTTATGTGTAGTGGAAGCGTGTTGAACAGTCTCGGGCCTCTGATGATGATAGTTCTCTCTTGAACACTGTGAGGGGTCGGCCAGTTATGTCCCTTATGTGTAGTGGAAGCGTGTTGAACAGTCTCGGGCCTCTGATGTTGATAGTTCTCTCTTGAACACTGTGTCTCTTGAACACTGTGAGGGGTCGGCCAGTTATGTCCCTTATGTGTAGTGGAAGCGTGTTGAACAGTCTCGGGCCTCTGATGTTGATAGTTCTCTCTCAGAGTACCTGTTGCACCTCTGCTCTTCAACGGGGGTATTCTGCACATCCTGCCATTTCTGCACATCCTGCCATGCCTTCTGGTCTCATGTGATGTTATTTCTGTGTTCAGATTTGGA